TACTTATTTTGTTTGTGCGTTTCTGCTGCCTTTGTCTGTAAGTTTTAATAAGAATTTGTCTCTACTTCTTTTGCCATTATACTGTAATTATACCCAGAAGAAACAATGCTTAACCAACCATGAAGCCGATCAAGACAGAATGCCATATATAGAGTAGATTCTATATAAAATTTATAAAAGTTACCTATAATCATGTCCACCACGGATGAAATCTGATGTCTAAAGTTGCCTTCAAAGTCACCGCCGAGCGAGATGGTGTAGGGCTGGATGGGATCCATAACTCTGATCACACCCATGTTCAAAAAAAGAGCATCACACTCTTACACAGAAGGTTTAAGTTCAAATCTATCAAGATGTCGGGATCAGTTAAACGAGTTCTTTTCGGCTCCTATTTGACTCTGATTTCACTAGCTGTTTCTTGAGATCTTGTCGAGTGTAATCTCAAAGCACAGAACTGTGATAATGAACAGGAAACACGGGAAACAGTAAATCGACAAATTTCTTTCTTTTCTTGACGAGCAAAAGTTCAGCAGCCTTTCCAGTTGTTGAACAGTCCAGTATGTTGTCACAACGTTGGGTATGTAATAATATCGGTCAGTATTGTAACTTTTGTGAAAAAAATATGAACCACCGAATTACTGAGCACTGTTAAAAAGATGCCCAATAGAAGTCTTGAGATGTAGATCTAGGAGGTCCAAAACTAGAACCACACCGCAATCCAATCACCGTCAAATTAGTTCAGTCTCCTAATTTCAATCATAAACAGAAACTTGGTCCCAAAGAGACACCGAAGCACATCCAGCTTGTAACGAGTTATGTCGAATGTTGACTTGGTTGTGGCAGCGAAGCTTTATAAAACGTCCCAGACACGTCTTGGAAGAAGAATTAAAAACACCTAGATACCGCGGTCTCATTCAATCAAGCAGAGAGGGCAAGAAATTCAGCCACAAGACACCACAACGTGTTTTCAACGTAACAGAAGCAAAACGTTATGTATGAAGCGGCGCGGTGGGGCTGGGGGAGATTATAATGACCTCCGAAAGTACGACAAACAAGTTATATTTAGAAAGTAGACGACAGGGGAGGCGTTTCCCTAAAAACTCGGTCAGGACAGTTGGCCAATCAGTGGGCACCATTTTTCGTAAGGACGTGCGGGGCGAAAGGGGTGCTATGGCGGATCTGCTTTTGGATTAACGGTAATCGTTATAGAGGAAGGTTCTTCCCAAGCAAACACGCGAAGTGACAGACGCGCGTACACACATATTAAGACGTTGTGTGTGTGTGTGTGTGTGTGTGTGTGTGTGTGTGTGTGTGTGTGTGTGT